TGTATCCCGTTAGGGAATGATAACAGGTGTGAAGAAAACAGCCTTAGTCCCACTCTTTTGAGAAGTCCTGGATTTCAAGGTCCCAGTGTCCAAGCACTCAAAACCTGTAGAGATAAACAGAGTTGTGTTTAGCAGAGTATAACAAAGTTTTGAGAATAAGAGAAAGGAGGACAACTGGAAGATGTGATATACCGAATGGGTGGTAGAAACACTTAACGTGCCTACCTGTGTGTGTGTTTGTGTGTGTGCGCGCGCTCGAGTGTGCTTAGGAGAGACAATGAGGACAAAAGGAGAAGAGCCAGGCAGCCAGCCAGACAAGGAGGGACAAACAGAAAGAGAGAGAATGAATTGGAATAACAGGATAAATTTGGAAATAAAGAGCCACAGGTCAAGTGGGAAAGCACAATGAAAAGTGGTGGTGTCCAGGGTACTTGTATATGCACCTGCTTTAGCCATCTTTGTGCAACTGGGCTGTGGGGCAAGCATTACAAGTTGGGGGAAGAAGGAGACTGCCTGTTCTGCTTGACAGTTGATGGAACACAAGTCTTGTGAACTTCAAGGTCAGCAAGGAAAAGCTCTTGCCTTAATGAGGCTCAGGTGAGGTGCCACCCTAGCCATTTTGCATTGCCCAGAAACAGGCAGGAGATGGGATTCCATCCTTTTCTTGTTCCTGCTGTGTGAGTGTGTAAATGCATGGGGGGGGGGGGCATTCCCCACTGATGACCTGACTTGCTGGAGAGTCAGCTGATGTGTGACAGACCAGAGGACTTAAAGAGGCTCCCAAGTGTTAGGGCTCAGCAGTAAGTGTGTGTGCGGCGGTGGGGGGTGGGGGTGGGGGAGAGATGGAGTGAGGGGGGCAGACTTCAGTGGCCATGGGGTTTTGGGAAGCAGGGGGAGGCAGGCAGGAGCTGAAGAGTGGGCGTGTCTAGCGGAGCTGTAAGCAGGAAAAGGGCGTGTCCAGGAGAAGCAGCCTAGGCTGCTGGTTGGTTGGGCAGGTGTGAGGACGCTTTCCCCACCCACCAGCTTCCAATAAAGGTGAGCAGAGCAGCCCTGCACAGAGGTGAAAGAGAGGCAGCTGACAGTAGGGCCAGCCCAGAGGTCCTGGGTCCTGTCCTCTGCCTGCAGAGTGCTAAGCGCGTCCCCAGGCAGGGTTCTAGAGCACTGGAGGGAGCGTGCTGCTTTCGCTTGCCCCCGAAGGTCCAGTCCCCACATTGGAGATGGAGGGGTCCGCCAAGCACCTAAAAGCCCTGCGGAAGTTGCGGGAGCGCCTGCACACAGAGACAGAGCCAGACAAACTCTACAAAACCCTGAAGGAACTCTCTTCAGTGCCCATCCTGTGCGACACCCTGGCGGAGATTGGCTTCAGGCAGACCATCGAGCTGCTGAGGAGAGAGCAGCTCCTGTTCCCCTTTGCCAAGGACTTTGCCTCCAAGTGGTCAGAGAGGTCACCCTTGGAGCGCCAGGCCGAGGCGGAGCCACAGGACCTTGCCTTGCAGATGAGACTGACAAGAGAGCAGGCACCCCGAAAGCCCGCAGCAGAGGACAAGGCGCATGAGCCTGCTGCTTCTCGGGCACGTGCGGGAGATGCCAGAGAGGTCGTGGGGGGCAGCAGGAGGAGCCCACAGAGGAACCCGGACTCGTACCCGGCCGGTTCTTTCGAGGCTTGCCTCAACTATGACTGCCCTTCTTCTTCCGGGACACTGCTTCTGGGCAAGGGGAAGAAGAGGAAACGCCCCTGGAAAGCTGAGGCCCAGAGTGGTGGAGCCAAGGTTCCTCGGAGCCAGTCTCCAAACTGCAAGGAGCAGAGTCTCCTGCCTGCCAGTCGCTTTCCAGAGCTGAGCTCCAGTCGCCAAGCCTGCTTTCCCTCGCATGGCCAGGACTCTTCTTCCTTGCAGAGCGAGCAAGAAGCCGCCCCTTGGGCCTGCAGGGTGAACTCGAAAACCCCAGTCTGTTCGGGTCGCGTCCCTGGCCCTCGTCTCCTGCCCAAACTGCACCAAGGGTGCCTTGCTAAGCCCAACTGCTCCAGCCAACCGGCAGAGGCACAAGAGGAGGTGTGCAGGCCCCAGATCTGACATGGCCAGAAGACTCAGGCCCAGGCTGAGAGGCAGACACACCTCCAGCAGCAGGAGGCCCGCGAGCTCATGCTGCAAGGCCTGAGAGAGCGCATCCAAAGGGCCCAAGCCAAGAAGAGCCAAGCTCTCCAGACCCAGATGATCCCCTTCCCTGCCCATGTCGCCAGCCAAAGCCAGCAGGCTGCCTCTGGACACGCAGGGGGAGGGGGAGCCCCCTCCAAAGAGAACAATCTTCCTGGAGCCTTGGCCCCTGGCCCACAGCAGAGGGCTCCCTGCCTGCCCTTGGGCCCCAGCAACAAGACCCAGCTGAAGAAAAGCGCCCCTCTCATGGCCAAGTCCCTCAGAGATTACAAGAACAGGTATTCTAGGAGGTGAACTGAGGATGCTCTCTGCCCCGGGATTGCTGGCAACTGCTCACTCAGGAGCAGATCTGCTCTCTCCCCTCTCTTACAACAGGCAAGCCCAATAGCCAGCTCAGGATTGCCAAATGATCCCTTGCTCCTAACTCATGGCTGCTCTCTTCCCAGAGAAGCCTGGACAGCCACCTCCAATCCCCAGGGACCCACCCAACTCCAAATCCAGCCAGGCCCCAAGAGCCAACTCAGGTTCAACCTCTTTGGGAGTGCCTTAGATCTCATAGCCAACAGACCATGGCTTCCCAGGGGAATCACTCCACTTTGGAAATTCCCCAACACCCAACTGTCTGCTAGCCAAGGACTCAAGTGCTCAAGGCCTTGGCTTCAAAGCAAAGAAAGAGGAGCCCCAAGACCTCAGACCTTTGCCTTTAGCTTCCTTTGGGACCCTTTTGCAGACAGACGCACTGAACGTCTTCATTCACACCTGCAGTGAATTTTCAATCAAGACTGGATAGATGGATGTTGATTTCAGCCTCTCCTCAACTCCCCCGCCACACCCTTCGGGAGTGGCGGCCCCACCCTTGAAAGAACTATTCCTTGACCTGGGACACTTCACAGCCAGCCTCTTGCTGGCCTTGGACATGACTCAGTCCCCTCAGCTTTGACACCTTAGACATTTTTCCATGTCGCCATACAAGCCGTGTCGACTGTGAAAGCACACAACTAGCACCAGAGGGTTTTGTTTGAACACACGTGTGGATGTAGGATTGGGGCAGTCCTCTTCTTATGCAAAGGGGCTCCTATACCTTTCTCTCTAAATATGGATATTTATTTATTTATTTATCTATCTATTTATTTATTTATTTTAAGAAGTATACATATCGTAATAAAGATTGAGTATATCGATACATAGATCCTTGGCGTCTAAGTTTATTCATAATTTCTAGATTCTGTTACATCTAGAGAGGGGAGAGAGAGAGAGAGAGAGAGAGAGAGAGAGAGAGAGGGGCCCAAATATAGATTTATATAAAGACAAAAATACATAGACTTTTGGACACCTAGGAACATAAATAATTGATACACAATCTATGATGAAAATTCGGCATGCAGGCATGTATGCATGCACTCCCCAAGAACCAAAAGGTAAAATTGAAAGAAGAGTGTCTAAATCTAAATAAAAACAAAGACACCGGAAATCAATGTCAAAAACAAAACTTAAAAGGAAAATGTGCATCTGTGTGTGTGCGCGTTTATTTGAATGTGCTTGTGTGTGTGTGTGTGTGTGTGTGTGTGTTTTCTATTCAGTAGACAAATAGGGAGGACATATTTTCCAAGGGTTGAGAACCCCGCAGATTGTATCCCGTTAGGGAATGATAACAGGTGTGAAGAAAACAGCCTTAGTCCCACTCTTTTGAGAAGTCCTGGATTTCAAGGTCCCAGTGTCCAAGCACTCAAAACCTGTAGAGATAAACAGAGTTGTGTTTAGCAGAGTATAACAAAGTTTTGAGAATAAGAGAAAGGAGGACAACTGGAAGATGTGATGTACCGAATGGGTGGTAGAAACGCTTAACGTGTCTACCTGTGTGTGTGTTTGTGTGTGTGCGCGCGCTCGAGTGTGCTTAGGAGAGACAATGAGGACAAAAGGAGAAGAGCCAGGCAGCCAGCCAGACAAGGAGGGACAAACAGAAAGAGAGAGAATGAATTGGAATAACAGGATAAATTTGGAAATAAAGAGCCACAGGTCAAGTGGGAAAGCACAATGAAAAGTGGTGGTGTCCAGGGTACTTGTATATGCACCTGCTTTAGCCATCTTTGTGCAACTGGCCTGTGGGGCAAGCATTACAAGTTGGGGGAAGAAGGAGACTGCCTGTTCTGCTTGACAGTTGATGGAACACAAGTCTTGTGAACTTCAAGGTCAGCAAGGAAAAGCTCTTGCCTTAATGAGGCTCAGGTGAGGTGCCACCCTAGCCATTTTGCATTGCCCAGAAACAGGCAGGAGATGGGATTCCATCCTTTTCTTGTTCCTGCTGTGTGAGTGTGTAAATGCATGGGGGGGGGGGGGCATTCCGCACTGTTGATCTGACTTGCTGGAGAGTCAGCAGATGTGTGACAGACCAGAGGACTTAAAGAGGCTCCCAAGTGTTAGGGCTCAGCAGTAAGTGTGTGTGCGGCGGTGGGGGGTGGGGGTGGGGGAGAGATGGAGTGAGGGGGGCAGACTTCAGTGGCCATGGGGTTTTGGGAAGCAGGGGGAGGCAGGCAGGAGCTGAAGAGTGGGCGTGTCTAGCGGAGCTGTAAGCAGGAAAAGGGCGTGTCCAGGAGAAGCAGCCTAGGCTGCTGGTTGGTTGGGCAGGTGTGAGGACGCTTTCCCCACCCACCAGCTTCCAATAAAGGTGAGCAGAGCAGCCCTGCACAGAGGTGAAAGAGAGGCAGCTGACAGTAGGGCCAGCCCAGAGGTCCTGGGTCCTGTCCTCTGCCTGCAGAGTGCTAAGCGCGTCCCCAGGCAGGGTTCTAGAGCACTGGAGGGAGCGTGCTGCTTTCGCTTGCCCCCGAAGGTCCAGTCCCCACATTGGAGATGGAGGGGTCCGCCAAGCACCTAAAAGCCCTGCGGAAGTTGCGGGAGCGCCTGCACACAGAGACAGAGCCAGACAAACTCTACAAAACCCTGAAGGAACTCTCTTCAGTGCCCATCCTGTGCGACACCCTGGCGGAGATTGGCTTCAGGCAGACCATCGAGCTGCTGAGGAGAGAGCAGCTCCTGTTCCCCTTTGCCAAGGACTTTGCCTCCAAGTGGTCAGAGAGGTCACCCTTGGAGCGCCAGGCCGAGGCGGAGCCACAGGACCTTGCCTTGCAGATGAGACTGACAAGAGAGCAGGCACCCCGAAAGCCCGCAGCAGAGGACAAGGCGCATGAGCCTGCTGCTTCTCGGGCACGTGCGGGAGATGCCAGAGAGGTCGTGGGGGGCAGCAGGAGGAGCCCACAGAGGAACCCGGACTCGTACCCGGCCGGTTCTTTCGAGGCTTGCCTCAACTATGACTGCCCTTCTTCTTCCGGGACACTGCGTCTGGGCAAGGGGAAGAAGAGGAAACGCCCTTGGAAAGCTCAGGCCCAGAGTGGTGGAGCCAAGGTTCCTCGGAGCCAGTCTCCAAACTGCAAGGAGCAGAGTCTCCTGCCTGCCAGTCGCTTTCCAGAGCTGAGCTCCAGTCGCCAAGCCTGCTTTCCCTCGCATGGCCAGGACTCTTCTTCCTTGCAGAGCAAGCAAGAAGCCGCCCCTTGGGCCTGCAGGGTGAACTCGAAAACCCCAGTCTGTTCGGGTCGCGTCCCTGGCCCTCGTCTCCTGCCCAAACTGCACCAAGTGTGCCTTGCTAAGCCCAACTGCTCCAGCCAACCGGCAGAGGCACAAGAGGAGGTGTGCAGGCCCCAGATCTGCCATGGCCAGAAGACTCAGGCCCAGGCTGAGAGGCAGACACACCTCCAGCAGCAGGAGGCCCGCGAGCTCATGCTGCAAGGCCTGAGAGAGCGCATCCAAAGGGCCCAAGCCAAGAAGAGCCAAGCTCTCCAGACCCAGATGATCCCCTTCCCTGCCCATGTCGCCAGCCAAAGCCAGCAGGCTGCCTCTGGACACGCAGGGGGAGGGGGAGCCCCCTCCAAAGAGAACAATCTTCCTGGAGCCTTGGCCCCTGGCCCACAGCAGAGGGCTCCCTGCCTGCCCTTGGGCCCCAGCAACAAGACCCAGCTGAAGAAAAGCGCCCCTCTCATGGCCAAGTCCCTCAGAGATTACAAGAACAGGTATTCTAGGAGGTGAACTGAGGATGCTCTCTGCCCCGGGATTGCTGGCAACTGCTCACTCAGGAGCAGATCTGCTCTCTCCCCTCTCTTACAACAGGCAAGCCCAATAGCCAGCTCAGGATTGCCAAATGATCCCTTGGTCCTAACTCATGGCTGCTCTCTTCCCAGAGAAGCCTGGACAGCCACCTCCAATCCCCAGGGACCCACCCAACTCCAAATCCAGCCAGGCCCCAAGAGCCAACTCAGGTTCAACCTCTTTGGGAGTGCCTTAGACCACATAGACAACAGACCATGGCTTCCCAGGGGAATCACTCCACTTTGGAAATTCCCCAACACCCAACTGTCTGCTAGCCAAGGACTCAAGTGCTCAAGGCCTTGGCTTCAAAGCAAAGAAAAAGGAGCCCCAAGACCTCAGACCTTTGCCTTTAGCTTCCTTTGGGACCCTTTTGCAGACAGACGCACTGAACGTCTTCATTCACACCTGCAGTGAATTTTCAATCAAGACTGGATAGATGGATGTTGATTTCAGCCTCTCCTCAACTCCGCTGCCACACCCTTAAGGAGTGCCGGCCCCACCCTTGAAAGAACTATTCCTTGACCTGGGAAACTTCACAGCCAGCCTCTTGCTGGCCTTGGACATGACTCCTTCCCCTCAGCTTTCACACCTTAGACATTTTTCCCTGTCGCCATACAAGACGTGTCGACTGTGAAAGCACACAACTAGCACCAGAGGGTTTTGTTTGAACACACGTGTGGATGTAGGATTGGGGCAGTCCTCTTCTTATGCAAATGGGCTCCCATACCTTTCTCTCTAAATATGGATATTTATTTATTTATCTATCTATCTATTTATTTATTTATTTTAAGAAGTATACATATCATAATAAAGATTGAGTATATCGATACATAGATCCTTGGCGTCTAAGTTTATTCATAATTTCTAGATTCTGTTACATGTAGAGAGGGGGGAGAGAGAGAGAGAGAGAGGCCCAAATATAGATTTATATGAAGACAAAAATACATAGACTTTTGGACACCTAGGAACATAAATAATTGATACACAATCTATGATGGAAATTCGGTATGCAGGCACGTATGCATGCACTCCCTAAGAACCAAAACGTAAAATTGAAAGAAGAGTGTCTAAATCTAAATAAAAACAAAGACACCAGAAATCAATGTCAAAAACAAAACTTAAAAGGAAAATGTGCATCTGTGTGTGTGTGCGTTTATTTGAATGTACTTGTGTGTGTGTGTGTGTGTGTGTGTGTGTGTGTGTTTACTATTCAGTCGACAAATAGGGAGGACATATTTTCCAAGGGTTGAGAGACCCCGCAGATTGTATCCCGTTAGGGAATGATAACAGGTGTGAAGAAAACAGCCTTAGTCCCACTCTTTTGAGAAGTCCTGGATTTCAAGGTCCCAGTGTCCAAGCACTCAAAACCTGTAGAGATAAACAGAGTTGTGAGAGTTGTGTTTAGCAGAGTATAATAAAGTTTTGAGAGTAAAAAAAGGAGGACAACTCGAAGATGTGATGTCCCAAATGGGTGGTAGAGACGCTTAAAAAACATACTCTGTCCAATTTAGAGGTCATTGATGGCTAAATCTGTTCTATTGTGTATCTGAAATCTTTTTCTGATCACTGTTTTAAATTTTTAAGTGTCATGGCAGGGAGCAGAGTGGCTCTGTGCCTGTTTGTCCACCTTGCTTGACTTTCCAACATGACAGAGGTCAATTTACCACTTGCTCTGTGAACCATGCTTATCACCCCAATCTTTGAAACAGTTGCCCCACACCATCACCAAGTAACTTGCAGCATGCTGCCCACTAACCCCATTGAAATACTCCATAGTAAGGCCTCCTTAAAGAACCAGAACCACTTGTGCTACGAGCACTAAGCAGAATCCTGTTTTTAATTTTAAAGAATCTCACCCCTGTTTGCACCAGCAAACCGTGTCCATAAAAAAAAATTCAGCTATAAAGAAGGCATGTTTGGCTCCATTTTTGTGGGACTAAAATTCCTTTTTTTTCTTAAGCTTTTTCAGTCTTATGTCAATCCGTGCTTAGACAGTGGGCATCATTTGTAAACAGAGACTTCTTTTCATTTCCTGACCACCCAGACCTAAATATTCACACAAAACTATATTAATTACAATACTGTTTTGCTGATGACTCAGGCATATTTCTAGCTCAATTTTATCTCTTAAATTAACCTATTTCTGTCATTTTATATTTTACGATGAGGCTTCCGGCTTCTTATGTCTTGCTTCTCAGGCAGCTACATGGCATCTCCTTGATTTGGGCTTCTTTCCTCCTCTGTCTCTGCTTAGATTTCCTGCCTTGTTACATTCTGCTGCACCATAGGCCAAACCAGCTTCTTTATTAACCAGTGGTAATCAAAGTCCGTATGTTTATAGCATACGGAGGGGAATCCAACATCAATATTCATCTGGATGCATGTATATTTTGAGAGTGTAGGCAATGACTCTATGTAGGTGAAGTTATAAGCAGTTGATATGTGTTGATATGGATGAAATCAATGGCTATCTGTAGATGACAATAGAGCCTCAGGCTTTATGTAGGTGAGGATTTAGATGCTTGTTATGTGTAGCTGGGCTAGTTGATGCTTGTTATGTGTAGGTGAGGATGTAAACATTGGTTATGTGTAGCTGAGGATATAGATGCTGTTTAGGTGTAGGTGAGGATGTAGATGCTGGCTAATTACATGTGAGGAAGAAGATCATATTGAGAGTGCCATCTTTTTTTTCGCAATATATAAACAATTTCCCCAGAGAATATGAGAATAAACACAGACAAGGTATGCATTGAAATGATTTAATGCAATTTGTAGCTTTTACAATGCTCTTAGTTTTGCTGATCCAAGCTCATCTGCCTCAGAGTTATCTGATTTGCAAGAAGCTACTTTAAGAAAGTTAATGGCTAGCACAGACACTAATCTGTCCTGAGTACTTCATGATCAGCAAAAGGAATAGGGCCATTCTCTCAACGGTTAAAACAGGCTGACACATGACTTGAGAATTTGTTTTTTAAGCAGTGTAAATGGGTGAGTTCTGAGAAAATACTTTTTAAAAAGGTCTCCTCTTCATGAGGAGAAGTTTCAGAGTTGAGGTAGTCTCAGTTGTATCCACTCAGAGTTCTGTTCCTTTAATAACCCACCTTGCCCCCACACAGTGGCTGTTCTAACTATCTGGGAGCTGGGCTTACATACAAGACGTTGGAGCTCAAACAGCTGCCATTTTACCCAAGAATATCTTGTTTCCTGTAAATAACTGTTTTAATTCTTTTGAACAGGGAGACATGAAGATTAATTGTGACGAAACTTAATGTGAATTACTTCATAGGTGAAGAACTGATGTATTGAGAATCTTTGATGACCAAAGTGCTAGACCACTGTCACCAGAATCTGATGCATTGGTTATCTTGAAAAAAAAAAAAACAAAAACAAAACGGAGGCTTTGCTTAAAACAGGGAATACAGTTGTCAGCATAAGCCTCTTAGGAAACAGCCTCCTTTTTGCTCCTGTTTCTGTTTAGAGCATGCGTGTTTGAAGAAGAAACCAAGGAAGTGTGGCCTTTCCTGTAACTACTGGCAGAGCAATAAAGAGAGAGAATGACCTGCAGTGGAAACACACAGTGGTTACAGTGTGCGTTTCTGAAGATACTTGGTGAGATCTCGGTTTTCACAGTGCGTTCTCCATGGATACGTGTGGGGAAAAGTGAAACAGGGAAGAAATGATTGCACTGAACTCTTCTGTCACACACATACTAAAACCTTGGGGCAGGGAAAAGAAATAGTGTTACCACTGACACTAGGAAGATTATCATCTGGGCCAAGATCTAATGTGAAATACAGGCTAGAGCTGTACCCAGAAACTACTAACTGATAGAGCTCTGTGTACATGGCAGTTTGAGTCTCTCCAGACTATGAGCAGAGCACAGATGCTCAATGTCAATGTGACATCACACGCATGGTACAGTGAACTGATCTACAAATAATCTGAAGGCTTGATGAGGGAGTAGTCAAATGTGGGAATTCTCACAATCTAGAGAAATTCCCTAAAACCAATGATGTTGCTAAAGGCCCCACCTGTACCTGCGGTGCCCTGTATCACACTTGGGCCTCAGAAAGACTAGCATAAATCAACAGAACTAGCAATTTCTCCTTCCAAAGTTCTAACATATAATGCTCTAATGGCTTGTGGTGTTTGCACAATAATCTTTGCACATTTTATGGATTCAGTGATGTCATCCTGGAGCAAAACTGAAAGACAGGGCTGTGGAATGACAAGGATTGTTACAGAACCCATTTTAGTTAGGATCCAGGCAGCTTTCTTCAGTGACACTGAGCAGTCTATACAAAAAAGTGCATTTCAAGCTACCATGCACCTGTGATTATTGGAGACAGTCTCTCTAGATTCTATCCTGATGACACACTGTAAGTCATTTTATTTTTCAGTTTTAGAGTTCCTGGGTGTTGGGATATACTTAAGTTGCAGTGTGTTCTTAGGATTCCAGCACTGATTAAAAAGTAGAGAACATATTGTAGTAAGGAGGATGCACTGGAGACTGTGGGACTGTCAGCTACAATGAGGGAAGTTCCTCTTTATTCTCATTCTGGAAAATAGAACATGCTGGAACTGTCACTTGGACTTACCTTTGGACATTTATCCTGAAGAAAAACAGGGCCTGAACAGATTGCTCAGTGGCTAATAGACCGGGATGCTCTTACAGAGAACATGATTTTCAGCACCCACATGGCAGCTTTCAGGGATCTGTAACTCCCATTCCAGGAAATGGAAGCTTTCTTCTGGCTTCCACAGGTACCAGGCACACAAGTGGTACACAGTCCTATATGCATGAAAAACACCCACATACATAAAAATAAATTAATACTTTAAGAAAGACAATAATGAACAAACCTTGGTTGAATAAAGCTCTTCCTAGGAATTTATGACCAGGAAAATAAAAGGAGCCATGTGCTCTAAAACTTAATATT